GTGGGCAACCTTCCATACACCAATATATACATATGAAAGGTTTCTTTTTCCAAATACTTGTATTTTAAAAGCTATCCCATTACTGACTTTTCAATTTGTTCTTCCCATGTCATCTCATATAAACCTTTATCATTCTAACTACTAATAAATGTACTATAGTATAGTTTGTTTGAACATGGTACATTTTCTTTGGAACTTCCCATTAAACAATACCACAGAATTGGAGTACCTGGCTAGCTTAGTGGGTGGAGCAGGTGACTCGATCTTGGGACCATAAGTGCAAGCCCCATGTTGGGTGTAAAGCTTACTTAAAAAAAAGGGGGGGGGTGTCCCTGGATGGCTCAACGGTTTAGTGCCTGCCTTTGGCCCAGGGCGTGATCCTGGAGTCCCGGGATCCAGTCCCGTGTCGGGCTCCCGGCATGGAGCCTGCTTCTCCCTCTGCCTGTGTCTCTGCCTCTCTCTCGCTCTCTGTGTCTATCATGAATAAATAAATAAATAAATCTTTAAAAAAGAAAATACTGAAAAAATTTTAAAAGTGTCTTTTTGGCAGCTCTTTTTAATAGAACACTACACATAAAATAGCTAGCTTGAAAAAAGATATTAAATATGCCTAAAATTTGGAAAATTGTTCAACATTAACCCCAAGTGATTTTTTTAAGATTTAGGGGAAGAAAAAAAAGCTTTAGGGGGGACATGCCTGGGTGATTCAGTGATTAAGTGTCTGCCTTTGGGTCAGGGCACGGTCCTGGGATCCTGGATCGAGTCCTACATGGGCTTCCCCGCTCAGCAAGACACCTGCTCCTCCCTCTCCATTCCCCCTGCTTGGGCTCTCTAACACTCTGTCAAATAAATGATTTTTGTTTTTTTATGATAGTCACAGAGAGAGAGAGAGAGAGAGAGGCAGAGACACAGGCAGAGACACAGGCAGAGACACAGGCAGAGACACAGGCAGAGGACACAGGCAGAGACACAGGCAGAGACAGAGACAGAGGGAGAGGGAGAGGGAGAGGGAGAGGGAGAGGGAGAGGGAGAGGGAGAGGGAGAGGGAGAGGGAGAGGGAGAGGGAGAGGGAGAGGGAGAGGGAGAGGGAGAGGGAGAGGGAGAGGGAGAGGGAGAGGGAGAGGGAGAGGGAGAGGGAGAGGGAGAAGCAGGCTCCACGCACCGGGAGCCCGACGTGGGATTCAATCCCAGGTCTCCAGGATCGCGCCCTGGGCCAAAGGCAGCCGCTAAACCGCTGCACCACCCAGGGATCCCTGATTTTTTTTTTTTAAAGATTTCATTTACTTTTTTTAGAGAAAGAGCAAGCACAAGCGAGAGCACATGAGCAGGGGGAGGGGCAGAGAGAGAGAGGGAGAAGCATGCTCCCCACTAAGCAGGGAGCCCAATGTAGGGCTCCATCCCAGGTTCCTGAGGTCAAGACCTGAGCTGAAAGCAGACATTTAACCGACTGAGCCACCCAGGCGCTCCCGCCAAGTGATGTTTTTAAAGAAAAAGATAGGAAAGAACAGAAGGGGTTCTAGGGTGTCTTCCTCCTTTTGAGAAATCTACCTTCTAAAGCCCAGAAATGTTTAACTGTTAAATGTTCCAAATTATAGGCTAGAGATTTATTCATTTATTTATGAATAAACAAATCTTTAATAAATAAGATAATATGGGGATCCCTGGGTGGCGCAGCGGTTTGGCGCCTGCCTTTGGCCCAGGGCGCGATCCTGGAGACCCGGGATCGAATCCCACATCGGGCTCCCTGCATGGAGCCTGCTTCTCCCTCTGCCTGTGTCTCTGCCTCTCTCTCTCTCTGTGACTATCATAAATAAATAAATAAATAAATAAATAAATAATATAAATAAATAAATAAATAAATAAAATATGTAATGAGTGATATAATCAAACCTAAATGTTTATCTGCATATAGTATGGACTCCTTCTCAAAACATCTTTTTATCAAGACCTGTCTGGTGTTTTGGAGATTTTTTACAATATTGTTGATGAAAAATATGCTTATGGATTGCAGAAAACCATGAGAACCGGTTTTTTTCCATGATACTTGTTTCAGGGGTATTTACATTTACATTACATTTTTTAAGTTTTCTTTTTTTCTTTTAACATTTCATTTATTCATAAGAGACAGAGAGAGAGAGAGAGAGAAGCAGAGACACAGGCAGAGGGAGAAGCAGGCTCCCTGTGGGGACCCCAATGTGGGACTTGATCCCAGGATCACCACCTGAGCCAAAGGCAGACACTCAACTACTGAGTCACCCAAGTGCCCCTCTTTTTCTTTCTTTCTTTCTTTCTTTCTTTCTTTCTTTCTTTCTTTCTTTCTTTCTTTTTTTTTTTTTTTTAAGATTTTATTTGACAGAGAGAGAGCACAGCAGGGGGAATGGCAGGAGTGGGAGAAATGGGCTCCCTGCTGAGCACGGAGCCTCATTTGGGCTGGATCCCAGGACCCTGAGAGCATGACCTGAGCTGAAGGCAGATGCTTAACCTGAGCTTCCCAGGCACCCCTACATTTTAAGTTCCAACAGAGATCACCAAATGACATACCAAGAAGTCTTTGCCAATTTACTCTCTAGCTATATGAGCGCCCATTCCTCTACACCCCTGCCAACACCAAAAGTGAACACTCTTCTTCATTTTCCCCAACCTGATAGGCAAAAATTGCCATTACAATTGTCATTTCCCCCATTACTACTATGATTAAGTATCTTTTCCTAAGTACACTGGCTTTTCAGATATTTCCTTCTGAACTCCCACTTCTGTGCATTCCACTTTTATTTTTTGTATATTTTTGTAGTATGTTGTCTTCCTCTTGGAAATTAATAGCATTTATCTCCTAATCTTTTTAATGGTATCTCAAGACAATTTTGCAACTAGATACATTTTAGAGATCCTAAAACCTACACATCCAGACACAAAGTACAAAGTCTTATTCACAACACACTCATCTTCTACAAAGAAAGGTGAAAACTATGTGCACGAGATGCAAACCATGGGATTATCCAGGAATAATTTATTTTCAATTACCACATGTAAATATACCAGCTTATTAGTATAAGACAATACCATTTAGGTGTCATACAGAATCCTTTAAGAACATCATTCAATTCCCAACAACCTAGTGCAGTAACTTTTATTGTCTCTATTTATTGATAAACTAAGAGGCTCGGAGAGTTTAATCAGTGTGCTGAGGATCACAACCGAGGTCCAGGTGATTTCAAGCAAGAGGTCACTGGCCCTCCCCACTGTTGTGCTTTACTGCCACCCCTAATTTTGCTCAGCTAATCCTATGTGCACACCAAAGTGTCCCATTTTTCTCCAATGGTTCATTATATCATTTGAAATGCCTTAATAAAAATCACATAGCACCAAGTGTTTTAATCATCACTACTGAGGACTGTCTTATTCTGTTACCTTTTTTAGGTCGTGTATAACAACACAGGCTCAGTCTTACCACAGGATTCCTCATCACATCACAATCTACCCTAAGTAGCCTGTCAAAGGTTATCCTAAGAACAGCTCTAAATGCCATGGAGTTTACTGGGGCACAGCCGTTCTCACAAAGTACTTCAAAGGTAAAAGCATTTCAAGATGACGACTTGTGACCAGAATCTAAAATTAATGTAGGCATTAAGTCTTGCATGATGATCCCAAATAACCATCTGCTGAATGGTATTAACTAACTGAGCTCTGATCGTTAAACACATCAAGAATCAAATAGTCACTCCTCAAGCACACAGGCTGCTCTCACCACCCCCTCTAGGCTCAGCCTCAACCACCATCCAGCCTCACACTTGAGCCTCTCTAATCCCAAACAGCTTGTAGTTCCCCCACACACACTGGGATATTTCACACTTACATGCCTTGGCTCCTGCTGTCCCTCCTGCCTTTTCCATCCCCACTGCACAAAGCCTCCATCTACTGTCACATCCCTCTCTGAACCTATGCCTGGCTGGCTGTACCAATACCCACCTAAGCCTAATGCCCCCCCAACCCTGTGTTTCTGGGGCATACCATACATACCCCATGACATATTTACACCTTCTCTTTACCTGCAGAGATATTATCCACCCTCTGGATCAATGCCCAGTGAGGCACTGCTGGTGTTCAAGATAAAAATATCACCCAGGCATTGAAAGAGAACAAAGTGAAAGTCAGTATACTCCGTGTACTTTTTATTTGGGACAAATACCTTATTCTTCTTTGTAGCCTCTGAAACCTAGCATTAAGCTGTCCTAGAGGGGATGCCTGGGTGGCTCAGCGGTCGAGCACATCTGCCTTTAGCTCAGGGTGTGATCCCTGGAGTCCTGGGATCGAGTCCCGCATCGGACTCCCTGCATGGAGCCTGCTTCTCCTCCCTCTTCTATGTCTCTGCCTCTGTGTGTCTCTCGTGAATAAATAAATAAAATCTTCAAAAAAAAATTTTTTTTACATACAAGAGGCAGAAATGAATAAGGACCTAGGTTTGTCAGAGTTAGCACAACATCCATGATATAAAGAATAAGGCTATTCCTGGATTTATACAGTCCTCCATGCTTGAAAATATAGGGTCTTTTTTATTTTTTATTTATTTATTTGAGAGAGAGGGAGAGTGAGAGAGAAAGAGCACAAGAGTACTGGGAGAGAGAAGTAGACTCCCCGCTGAGCAGGAGCCCCACTCAGTGCTCAATCCCAGGACCCTGGATCATGATCTAAGCCAAAGGTCACTTAACCAAATGAGTACCCAGGCGCCCTGAAAATAGTTTTTTGGGTTTGTTTTTTTTTTTTTTTTTAAGATTTTATTCATTTGGCAGAATGAGAGTGAGCACAAACAGGGGGAGCAGCAGGCAGAGGGAGAGGGAGAAGCAAGCTCCCCATTGAGGAGGGAGCCCCACACAGAGCTCAATCCCATGAACCCGGGATCATGACCTGAGCGGAAGGCAGATGCTTAAGCCACCCAGGTGCCCCCTGAAAATAGTTTTTAACCAAACTGTCTCACTGCATACTTCATTGAAAACTGCTCTCTTGTGCTCACTTTAGCAACACACACACTAAAATTGGAACAATACAGAGAAGATCAGCATGGCCCCTGCACAAAGATATGAGAATTTGTAAAAGAGTTCCAAAAAAAAAAAAAAAAGACGAAGAAGAAAACTGCTCTCTTGGTTGTCTTATGACTAACCACGTCAATATAAGTTAAGTGCTTTTGGCAGAGCACTTTCAAATTTAAATGTGCATGTCTTCTGACATAGCAATTCCCAATCTAAGAATTACCTTATAAAAATATCCAACCAAGAGTCTTATGACATAAAGGATACACTCAACAGACTATTATGAAAAGTTAAACTGCTGCACATCTATGTTGAGCAATATGGTGAGTTTAAAAAGAACCTACACTGAAGATTCTTCAGGATACATCATTTAATAAAAGCACAAATTATAAACAATTTGATTAAACTAAAAAAAAAGTTTATTGATACATTCATAGAAGAATTTCTGGAAAATAATATACCAAATCACCAGCTATAAGACCTGGGCTGAAAAGCAAGTCTTTTCACATTGTATATCATGTGTTTTGAATTAATTTGAATGCACACACAGATAAAAATTCAAGTTTACTTAAGATTTATATACTCTACTATATCTAGGTTATACAGTATTTTTTAAAAGGTATTATATGCTCAATTAAAATAAAAAAAACACACCACCCACAGACTTCTACTTACATGAGTCCACATCCAAAACCAGAAAAAAAGTTTTCTGTATTTCTGTTATCACCAAATAACCTACATCCAGCCTTTGTACAAATCTCGAGAGGAAAAATACAATAGCTGCCACTGAAGTTACTACCAAATAATACTATATTGATGCTTTACATATGTTGTCCCCAGAATCCTATCAGGCATTATTTACCATTCTAATCTGCCCAGATCTCAATTTCCTTGTCCTTAATCAACATCATTCATTTAGAAAATAAAGTTGGGATTAAACACAGATCTCAGACCTCATATCCTACATTCTTCTGGCAATACCCTTCAGTTCAACAAGGGCCCTTGGCATAAGCATCAGAGCTCCTAATCAAAAGGTTCCAGCACAATTTCTCCTACTTATTCTCTCCCTATCCTTAACAGTATTTCAAGTTTAAAAGATTTCCTTCTGCAAGTCAGGACCCTACTAAACTTGGTTAGGAGCTGGGACAACCAAGCACCATGGACTCCACTCGGGACACTTCTACCTTTTTTGCAATCTAAAACATAGCCTATGAGTCACAATCACATGCCTGAGATAAAGTCATGGCATCTACTTCCTCGTGCCCTCTGTTCTACTCTCATACCTCCTTAGGCCTCCCTCCAACTTCTCTGCAATTCATTTATATTTAAGATGAAGCTGCTAAAAAAAATACCTTAAAGGAAGAAGCAGTTCCTCTTTCCATCTTAAAACAGGATGACCAGATATTTTTATTTGATAGTAAGCCCCAGATTCCAGACTACCTGTGCTCATCTTTTTCCTACAGGAAGACAATAAATCAACCTTCAAAGAAGCCAAACCAGATTACTTTTTTCTTCAGAGAAAGCAAGAAACAGGACATCTCTGCTCCAACTTGCCGCTGCAAACATGATCAGGCTGCTGTGTAAGCTACTTTCAGGATTTGACATCTTAAGTGAGAGGAATGAAGGCAGGGCAGAGTCAAAGCACAGGGAAAATGGGTTCCACTAATTACCTGCAGTGTCTTGAGCAAGTTACTTTTCTCAGGCCTTTATGGAGAATTTTTTGGTAAAATACCACTAATACATATACATATATGTGTGTGTGTGTGTGTGTGTGTGTGTGTATACACACATATGAGAAAACCAATAAAAATGAATTATATATATATAGATTCATAATATATATATGACTTTATCTCATTTTTATTGGTTTTCCTTTCTTAAAATAGCAGATATTTAATGCATTCTGAAAGTAGTACTTGAGGGGCAGCCCAGTTGGCTCAGCAGTTTAGTGCCGCCTTCAGCCCAGGGCATGATCCTGGAGACCCGGGATCAAGTCCCACGTCAGGCTCCCTGCATGGAGCCTGCTTCTGTCTCTGCCTCTCTCTCTGCCTGTGTCTCTGTCTCTCTCTCTCTCTCTCTCCCTGTGTCTCATTAATAAATAAATAAAATCTTAAAAAAATGAAAGTAGTACTTGATTAATCAAAGGACTTGCTCTCTCTCTCTCTCTCTTTAATAAATAAAATCTTAAAAAAAAAAAAAAAATGGGCAGCCCTGGTGGCTTAGCAGTTTAGTGCTGCCTTCATCCCAGGGCATGTTCCTGGAGACCTGGGATCGAGCCCCACATCAGGCTCCCTGCATGGAGCCTGCTTCTATCTCTGCCTGTGTCTCTGCCTCTCTCTCTCTCTCTCTCTTTCTCTCTCTCTCTCTCTCTCTCTCTGTGTGTCTCTCATGAATAAATAAAATCTTAAAAAAAAAAAGCAGTACTTGATTAATCAAAGGACTTGCGCGCGCTCTGTCTTTAATAAATAAAATCTTAAAAAAAAAAAAAATTTAAAAAAAGGGGGCAGCCCTGGTGGCTTAGTGGTTTAGTGCTCCTTTGGCCCAGGACATGATCCTGGAGACCCGGGATGGAGTCCCACATCAGGCTCCCAGCATGGAGCCTGCTTCTCCCTCTTCCCCGCCCCTCCCCCCTCTGTCTTTAATAAGTAAATAAAATCTTTAAAAATAATAATAATAAAAGGACTTGCATAAACCAAGTCTTAAAGACAGTTACTCAGATTCAGTCATCTGTATCAAATCAACTGATCTAACACACCACCTAGTTTTGGTGACAACTGAGGCCAAAACCAGGATTCATAATATAAGGAGAAAGCTGCTTTATCAAGGACCAAATTTTTAAATATGCAAAAATGAGGGAATTTAGGGTACTTACAAAAGGTTTCTTGTATTTCTTATAGCTAAATTTTTATGAAAAAAAAAAAAGGAAGGAATGTTTTACTTATTTCAACATTCTAAAATAACAAAGTGATTAAAGTATTTTAAACTTAGCCTATGATATCCATAAATGTTTTGGCCAATAGTTTCAACCTTGCTCATCAAATTGTCTTTTTTAAGTTTTTAATTCCAGTTAGTTAACATACCCAAATTAAGTCTTGAGATAACCACAGAGAAGCACCGACTTGGTCTACACTGCCTTGGAACCTACGACAGCTTCAAAGGATTTTCCAAATGTTTATTAATAAAAAGTAGAATAAGTTATCTAAAAAGTGAGCTCAGTCACCAGAAGTGTTGAAACAAATGCCAGAGAGTAGGTCAACTGAAACAAACAAATCTTGTCCACTGGCAAGAGAATCAACTAAACTTAGGACTCTTCCATCTCTAGCAAGTTATAAATAGAACATGCTCAGACATATTTCTGGAAAGTAAAAAAATTAAGATACTAATAAATGAATTCTGAAAGAAAGGCTTGTATCACAGGTTGCTCTAAAATTCATAAATCACTCTCCATCTACCTACTGCCAAACCAGAGGCTATAACTTACCACCACCCCCACTCACATTCATCCATCTAAATCACAAACTGTCAGTGGTATTCCATACAGTTGATAACACCTTCCTCACCCACGGGCTTTTTTTATGTATCTCCCAGAAATACTTCACTCTGCTTGCTTTCCTCTACGTAACTGGCCTCCCTTACTCTCCTTTACTCAGTCTCTTGGTAACCTTATCTGATTCCATGATTTTAAATATCCCAACCTAGTGACATTCCAATTCTCACCTCACCAACTCCTACCCTCCAGGTTGATATATCCAACTATGTACTTGACTTCACTTAATTTCTAATAAGCGTTAGAGACATAATACACCAAAAGTGAAGCTCTTGATTTCTACCCAAGAATTTGTTCCTTCCCCAACACTCTTCATTTTTGGTAAATGGCACCACCCTCCATTCCACTTAGTTTTTCTGACCAAAAAAAAAAAAAAATCTTGCCATGCTTTACTCTTCTCATAACTCTAATCCATCAACAAATCCTCTTAGTCCTTTCTTAGAAATATACAGACACTGACCACTATTTATCACTTCCAAAGCTAGTATCATGTCTCACCACAATATTACAATGGGAACTGGCTCCCCATTTCTAGTGCTTAATGTAATTTTTAGACATTTTAGGTTCCAATCACTTTGAAGCCACAACTCCTCCCCTCCTCCTTCCATTTATAAGACAATCTGCAAAAATCGTCACCATTAATTTCTTCCTCTCTGTACATGCATGCCACTCTACCATCAAGAGATGGAGGCTCTTTCCATTTCCTACTTGAATCTGTGCTGGCCTTGTGACTTGCCTCAATTGACAGTATATGATAGGATAATGTGCCAATTCTGGGCCTAGCCTTTAAGAGGTCAAGCAGCTTCGATTTACTCTTACTTAGTAGCCAAGGGCTACTACCAAGCCCTGAGATACCATGTGGAGAAAAGTCACATGGACCAGCATGAAGAGGCCAGACACCAAGAGCCTTCTTGGACCTTTTAGACCAGCTCAGTAAATGACCCAGAATGACAGACACCATGTGGAACGGAATCAATCATCAAGCAGATCCACAAAATCATGAGGGAAAATTAGTTATTTTGAGGCACTAAGTTTTGGGGTAGTTTGTTATGAAGCAAGAGATAACTGAAACACCATGATAGCAATGGAATCAACTTCTAAACAACTAAGTGATAAGGGCAGCTATTCTAGACACTTAGTCCTCTCTGACGTTATAGCTCCACTTGGGGCACCTGGTTGGCTCAGCTAGTAGAGCATACAACTCTTGATTTGAGGGTTTTGAGTTTGAGCCCCACAGTGGGATTAAAAATAAAATCTAAAACAAAACACCGACACACACCTTATAGTTCCACTAGATTCCTCAAAGAACACATCTATAATAATTTCAAACTACTTCCTAATCAAGTTAAATGGTCTCAGGATAATTGTCTAAAATGCATAATTTATGTACTATGTGTTCCCCTTCAGGGCAACAAAATTCACATACTATATTAATATTTATAATTGTGTTTATTTACCAATACTTGTCAAACAGCAATTTCAGACCATGATAAATTACACTCTCAGTTTTAATAGAGCACAAAAACTGTATCTGCCA